AGATGTTACTATGGTATACGGAAGTATAATTACACGCATTTCATAAGTGTCAAAGGATTTTATTAACAATTACATTAGGTTTATGCAAAGAGTCAATATTTGCAGTGTTGACTCGTTTTCAAGACCTCTGCAATTCGCCCTGGCATGCTGTCAATCAGCTTCTGGGCCAAATCTTGACTGATGACAGCTCATTCTTGCATAATCAATGCTTGGAGTTTGTCAGAATGTATGGGGGGTTTTTTGTTCACTCGCCTCTTGAGGATTGACCACACGTTCTCAATGGGATTAAGGTCTGGGGAGTTTCCTGGCCATGGACCGAAAATATTGAGGTTTTGTTCGCCAAGCTGCTTAGTTATCAGTTTTGTCTTATGGCTAGGTGCTCCATCATGCTGGAAAAGGCATTGTTCATCACCAAACTGTTCTTGAATGGTTGGGAGAACTTGCTCTCACAGTGTTTTTGTACCCTTTTTTATTTATCGCTGTGTTCTTAGGAAAAATTGTGAGTGAGCCCACTCCCTTGGCTGAGAAGCAACCCCACACATGAATGGTCTCAGGATGCTTTACTGTTGGCATGACACAGGACTGATGGTAGCGCTCACATTTTCTTCTCTGGACAAGTTTTTTTTTACGGATGCCCCAAACAATTGGAAATGGGATTCATCAGAGAAAATGACTTTACCGCATTCCTCAGCAATTCAATCAGTGTACCTTTTGCACAATATCAGTCTGTCCCTGATGTTTTTCCTGGAGAGAAGTGGCTTCTTTGCTGCCCTTCCTAACACCAGGTCATCCTCCAAAGTCTTCGCCTCACTGTGCTTGCAGATGCACTCCCACCTGCCTGCTGCCATTGCTGAGCAAGCTCTGCACTGGTGGTGCCCCGATCCCGCAGCTGAAACAACTTTAGAAGATGGTCCTGGCACATGCTGGACTTTCTTGGTTGCCCTGAAGCCTTCTTCACAACAATTGAACCTCTCTCCATGAAGTTCTTGATGATCTGATAAATGGTTGATTTAGGTGCAGTCTTAGCAGCAGCAATATCCTTGCCTGTGAATCCCTTTTTGTGCAAAGCAATGATGACTGCATGTCGCTTCTCGGCCTTTTGGCTAAGATCAAGTGTAGTATATGTTCTTATCAGTGTCCAGTGGGGGTGCTCCCGGCCATTCTAGCTTTGCGGGGATGGCTGTTGTATAGTACCCTCACTGGTATGATGGGGGTCCGGAAGGCTAGTACCGGAGGGACAGAAACCGGGGAGCGCCACGAGTTATGCTGGGGCCCTGGGAGTAATTCCTCCGAGAAGACTGGAAAGACCCAGTACCTCCTGATTTGGACGGTTCTACCTTGGTCTGGCCAGGGGCTGAGGAGGCAGAAAGTCCGCAAACTCGGTGCCCCCTGAGTAGACGCTCTCAGGGGTGCCACTAGTAACACCTGGGTGTGGGACCCCACTGTGTGAACATGGCACATGGTCACTGTTTTTACATTCTTTTTGCACAGCGCCCTAAGGACCAGGCCTTTTGGCTAAGTCCAGGGCAATTTTTGCTACGGGCCTCAGGGCCTGGTCTGTGCACTATTTGGCACGGTACCACTTTTTTATTTTCTATTTATTTCATTTATTTACACCTCCCACGTTTGTCACTTTTTCTTTTGCTTATGTGTGTGTTTTCACGGATGGAGGGTGTGGGTCCGCGGGCCTACCCTGAAGTCTAGGGGGAGGATGTGTGGCCTTTTGGTTCCTTCCTCCCCTGATCCCTAGGGGGCTTTTCTTCGGGAGAGCCCCCTGACCAAGTACTGTGTGTCTGGCTTCGGCTGGACACAAGGAACGGTGGTCCACCAGGCCTTTTGGCCAGGAGGACCAATTGGGAACCTTGTCCCCGTCAGGAGCTTCGTGCCCCGGGGGATCAGGGTAAGTGGTCCAAGCCCCTTTAAGGGTAGGACACAGCACACCCCTAAGTGCACTTTTTCGTGTGGTGTTTTGCACTTGCACTTTTTTTTGTGATACACTTACGGGTTTTTCATTTATAGTTGCACGTTTGCGGACTTAAAAAAAAAAAAAAAAATGATGACTGCATGTGTTTCCTTGCAGGTAACCATGGTTAACAGAGGAAAACATGTTTTCAAGCACCTCCGTCCTTTTAAAGCTTTCAGTCTGTTATTCTAACTCAGCATGACAGACTGATTTCCAGCCTTGTCCTTGTCAACACTGACACTTGTGCTAAGGAGAGAATCACTGACATGATGTCAGCTGGTCCTTTTGTGGCAGGGTTTAAATGCAGTGAAAATGTTTACTTTTGGATTAAGTTCATTTTCATGGCAAAAGAGGGACTTTGAAATTAATTTCAGGCAACAGACTTTGTGAACGTTTAATATTTGTGTCATTCTCAAAACTTTTGGCCAGGGCTGTAGATGTCCTCCTTTCACCTTGTGGATCCCAATAGAGGGTTTATCTACTTTTTGTAGGTTGTTGTTGTTTGATATGCGTTCTTATTTAAGGAATGTGCCCAGCCAGGGTATGCCCAGAGGCTCTGTTTTGTAAGCTTTATATCTTTTTTGAAAGCTGAATAAATAGAATTAAAAAAAAATAAAACTTAAAGTGTTACTAAACCCACAACAGTAATATCAGTCTGTATATGCAGTAAAGCATGCTTGTTTTACTCACTGTGGAAACTAAGGGGGTTAATCGTCCACATTATTTTAAAAGGATGTTTGATCCTGTCTTCTCTGATCCTCCCCTTCTTCAACAGTCTCTGATCCATCTGCTGATAGCACAGAGCCTTGGGGGCAAGCTGCACATGCTCAGTTTGGTTTGTATTGATAGAGTTTTTTTTTTCTTGGGAGAGTGCATATAATCAGCACAGGGCCAATCAACACTGTCCGGACAGAGGGCCAGGGGTCCTGCAGCCTCATAGGAAAATCAGGAATGAAATGAATGAAAAGTCCTCATACAAGCTTTAACCTGTGCTCTGCTGGACACTGATAGAAGTCACAAGACTGCAATATACTGCTGATAGAAAAGCTGTTGAGCAGTTTATGTTTACTAAAATTGCATTTCCATGTTCTGTGTACTGTGGGAGACCAGATGTAGTGAATGCTGCAGGGTCTGGGGTTTAGTAACTCCGTAATGGAAAGCAAGTCAAACCCAGCCGTTACAATGGTCATACACACTGCTTTCATACTCAAGTGTCAGATTATTTATATGTATTCTTATGGTAGACAATTTATTTTAAGCAACCCCTCTTTGTCCTCAAATAGGTCTATATTTTTACAGCTTTCAGATGCAAATTAAACCCAAACTGCAATACTATATTCTTTCTATGTTCAAGCCTTTATGCAGTTTGAAGTCTTGGCAGCAATACCCATATGCCAACATCCAATCACACAGTATAATAACAAGAGTTTCTCTGTGCAGCAGCCAGGCCACAGGATTCAGCAGTAGGTTCCCTCTGTATCTGGGGTCTTTATAGCAATAGATGAGAATGTTGGGGATGCATTTTTTATCAATAATACACTTAACTTTCAATGTAGAAATGCAGTGTAACATAAAACCGTATAATGTTCATCTTAGATTTGGGGAAGATAGCCTTGGGAATCTGGTTGCAGAAAGATTTCCCTCCCAGTGTGCCTGAAATGTAATAAGCCAACTGTGTTTTAAATCCACTACACCTACCCAAAATGAAAACCTCATTTTTAAGTGGGCTGACCATTGGCATATTTATGCAGCATCACAGTATTGATTTACCCAGACAAATTACATTTTAGGTTCATCAGTAGAAAGGATTTAAATTACTTTGATATGTTTGACTTTCCAAGATGAGGGTCACATAGGACAGTTGGTTATTTTTTTTTTTTATATCTTACATCATCTGACAAGTATGACGGCACTATACAAATTGTAGAGGCTTAAGAAAGGAACATTGAAAACAAAATATCAAGACACAGAATACTAATAAAGAACTACCAGAATAAGTGATTGCACCATCTGACACTGATCCCATCAATTTAAGCTAAGCTGGCAGATGAATAATTATTAATTTAGATAATATAAAATGTGTGTCTGGGTAAAATAAAAAAATCACACTTAAAGTGTTACTAAACATTATTCCTTCTATAGCAGCAGCGTTCAGACCAGGTGAGAGAGGGCAGCACTGTAAGCCAATCAGGCTCTGCTACATTGCACAGTGCTATTCACTTAAATTGAACCGTCAGTTTATACAGTGTGAACTAAATACATTCCAGGTGTAGCAAAACAAAAGATGTTAAATGTCATTCAAAGCAGTCACAGCCTGAGTAGAAAAGCCAGTCCTCTGTCAGCAGCTGCAGTGTGACTATTGCTCTCTGTATGGAAGCAGTGGTCTCTCTGAAGAAGTCCCACACACCCCTACTGAGTTAGACTTGCAACTCTGCAATTTGTGAACCTTATGTTCCCTGCTGATTAAAGAGCTCTGACTCTAAAGAGGGTGTCAGAGACATAGAGACTGCTGCTTCCACACAGAGAACAAGGGTCCTACTGCATTCATGCAGGAAAATGGCTTTTCTTCTCATGCTGTGGCTGCTTTTTAAATAAAACAAAATGTTAGACTTTGTCCACCTTTGTTTTGATGCATCTGAAATATACAGTATTTTGCTAGATTAACCACTTGCCCTCCTGAGGATTTACCCCCCCCCCCCCCCCCCCCCCCCCCCCCCCTTTTCCTGACCAGGCCATGTTTTGCGTTACTGCTCTGCATTACTTTAACTGACAATTGTGCGGTCATGCAACGCTGCACTCAAATGAAATGTACGTCCTTTTTTTCCCACTAATTGAGCTTTCTTTCAGTGGTATTTGATTGCTTGTGCGTTTTTTTGCGTTATAAAAAAAAGACCTACAATTTTGAGAAAAAACAATATTTTTGACTTTTTCCTATTAAACATGTCCAGTGAAACAATTTAAAATCAAATTTTGTCATAAAATTAGGCCAAAATGTATTTTGTTATATGTCTTTGATAAAAAAAAATCCCAATACGTTTAAATTAATTGGTTTATGTGAAAGTTTATAGCGTGTACGAATGGCAGTGTATATATACTGGAATTTGTTTTTTTTTTTTACTAGTAACGGTGGCAATCAGCGATTTTTAGTGGGACTGTGGTGGGCATTCTGACACTGGGGGGAACTGACTTGGTGTCCCTGACATCACCAGTGATACCAATACAGTGATCAGTGCTAAAAAAAAAACACTGACACTGTACTAATGCCACTGGGCAGGACGGGGTTAACATGAGGGGTGATCAAAGGGTTAACTGTGTGCTGGGTGTGTTTTACTATGGGGCCATATGTTTGTGCTTCACTGTAGGCACACTGCTTTGTATGGCTGTGCTGTGCACAGCCATGCAAAGCAGTGTGCACGAGCTGACAGGGAGGAGAACTGTTTTGTTTACAAACAGTTCTCCTCCCTGTCGAAGATCCTCGGTAATCACCGACCGGGACCTGGTGATTGATAGCCACGTCTGTGACCTGGAAATGCAAAATCATGTATATTTACGTGATTTTGCACACCTGTACCGCCCTGTAGCAGTATTTCTGCTATAGGGCAGTCGGGAAGCGGTTAAACAAAAGGTTCAGTTGGGCTTTAACACTAGATTCCTCCTGATGGAGTGTTGACTTCATTATTATGGGTTCTAAACTAGGCTGTATTTCATTTTTACTTACACTTTAGTACATAGTGTTAGGTAGTATCTACCTACAAGTTAAGGCTCCATGAACGCTAGCGTTTTTTTAAGCTCCTAGAAGCTATTGTCAGCATATTTTTTCTGCTCCTAAAAGCTAAATGGTGTTATCCTATGTGCCCATGCACACTACTTTAGGCTACTGGTATTTTTTAAACTTCAGCATCTAGAAACAGAAAAAAAACAGTTTTTGCAGTTTTTTTGAGCATTTTTTGAGCAGAAAAAAAAACCATTTAATGCTACTAAAACGCTCCTAACACTTCTCAACACTCCTAAAATGCTACTAAAAACGTTATTACCAGTGTTTTTTATCCAGCATTTTCCCCAGCGTTTTTTTGAGCTTAAAAGAACGCTAGTGTGCAGGGAATCTTAATGTGTAGATCCCCAGCTGTATCTGTCAAAAAGAGTGACAATCTCTTGCTGATATTAGATGTTGTGAATAACCCATCTGTAGGTCAGCAAAGTTCTGATTTGAAAACTTTTTTTAAAAAATTGGTAATGTGTGTTTATTTAGCCTTGTTTAGTGGACCACTTGTCTTTCTTTCCTTAGGGTTCGAAGGCAGCATGCGGGTTTTGATTGGATTGTTCACATGTCAGTTTGCCAAAATTCAGATGGAGGCTGCCAGGTGTCTACATGAACTTTCTCACTCGGATGACCCAGCTGTGTCCAAATCGTGTCTGCCAGCTACCTCCTACCTTCTGACATATTTATCAGGAAGCAGTGCAGAGCTCACGGTATTTATTTTCATTTTACATGAACCGTTATCATATGAAAATGTTAACAGCTTACTATTTCAGATGTCCAGCTTTACTACATAAAACCTTGAATAAGCAACTTCACCATTATCTGGTTAGATAAGTCTACAATGTAGCAAGTGAATAGTGAGATCTTGGCCCCTGGTCTCTGGACAGTTATCAGGCTGAGAGGCTCTCTCTTAAGTTCTGTTTGGCTAGAGTGAGCAATACTGAGTGGCGTTACCCGCAACAATTGAAAAAGAATGCTGGAGGGGGAAGAACGGTCAGAGTAGGGCTTTTACATTAGTTCCTGCATATAGAGCAAAGTGCTCTCAATCCAAATGGCTGTGAACTGGGTTAGGTTTGGCTGTTCACTGATAGGTCTATCAATGGGGCCAACATTTACATAGTTACAGGGGCAGCAAGGTTGACGGCGCTGCAGTGATTTCACTGCAGAAAGAAGACTCGCTGTTACCCTTTAAAAGGAAGTTCCTATCCAATAACTCCACTAGCAGGATCAACAGGTATTTACAAAATGTTCCAGGAATACGTAGAAAATCAGAAAGATTTTATCGTTTGACCATGGTTCTACTTCATTGATTCCTAAACGGTAGATAAAAAAAATCTTCAGTTTCTAAAAAGTGCTATTTTACCTAAATGTATGTCAAGAACTGTCCAAAAAAGTGAAATATCCTACAAGAGAATACTATAAAAAGACTATTGCAAAGGCAAAAAAGAAGGAAAAGCCAAGGCACATGCCTCATCTTTGTCAGAGCAGAATTTTACCCCCCACCCCCAAAACAAATATGTTTGTAAGCAGGCATGCTTTGTATTGCAGAAGAGATGTACAGTAAAGCATGCTTACCTGCTTGCAAACTTCTTTTGAATCTACACCAAGTTGTGCTTGTGCGGGCAGAAAACCGGACAAAGATGTCAGTGCTAGTGAGGGAACTTGAGAATGTTGTAATGATGGAGGTGAGGTAGATATTAGAATGTTTGATATAGAGAGGAATCAGAGCTCAGACTAACATACTCCACGGGGTCAAATGATTGGCCCCTGTGGGATTACAGACTAGATGTCTGCTGTATATATATTAATGTAGTATATAATGGTGAATGAATTCAGTTCAATGTTTCCTCCATGGACTTCCATGCACCTTTTTATTTTATTTGCCATCTTTGCAGTTCTGGATTTTTTTTAATGAAATGCACTTACAATTAAGCAGCATATTCAAGATAGAGTTCTGCTTTTTTGTGCAGGGAAAAATATGTATGTTTATAGTTTATGGGGCATATATACAGTAAAAAAAAGTGGTTTGATGCAATTTCCACACCACTTCTGGGAACTTCTATGCCAGGCATTCTCTATGCATTTATAAAGGTATCAATAGTTATTTGGCATACTCGAAAAACAGCAACATGATATTTGAAAATATTAAACAAAAGTGCTGTAATTTCAGGGAAAAGTGCCATATATGTAAGTGATGAACATATACAGTTGCAAGAAAAAGTATGTGAACCCCTTGGGATTATGTGGAGTTTTGCATGAATTGGGCATAAAATGTGCTCTGAACGTCATCTAAGTCACAACAATAGAAGAACACAGTCTGCTGAACATAATACTACACAAACATTAGATGTTGCCATGGTTTAATTGCACATAACATGTAAACATTCACAGTGCAGGGAGGAAAAAGTATGTGAACCTTTGGACTTAATAACTGGTTGACCCTCCTTTGGCAGCAATAACCTCAACCAAACGTTTCCTGTAGTTGCAGATCAGACCTGCACAACGATCTGGAGTAATTTTGGACCACTCCTCTTCACAAAACTGTTTCAGTGTAGCAATATTCTTGGGATGTCTGGTGTGAATCGCTCTCTTAAGGTCATGCCACAGCATTTCAATCGGGTTGAGGTCAGGACTCTGACTGGGCCACTCCAGAAGGCGTATTCTGTGCTGTTGCAGCCATTGTTTTGTTGAATTACTTGTATGCTTTGGGTCATTGTCCTGTTGCATCACCCATCCTCTGCGGAGCTTCAGTTGGCGGACAGATGGTCGTACGTTTTCCTGCAAAATGTCTTGATAAACTCTGGAATTCATTTTCCCATCAATGACAACAATCCGTCCAGGCCCTGAGGCAGCAAAGCAGCCCCAAACCATGATGCTCCCTCCACCATGTTTTACAGTGGGGATGAGGTTTTGATGTTGGTGTGCTGTGCCTTTTTTTCTCCACATATAGTGTTTTGTGTTCTTCTCAAACAACTCAATCTTGGTTTCATCTGTCCACAGTATATTTTGCCAGTAGTGCTGTGGAACATCCAGGTTCTCTTTTGCAAACTTTTAAACGTGCTGCAATATTCTTTTTGGGCAGCAATGGCTTCCTCCATGGTGTCCTCCCATGTACTCCATTCTTGTTTAATGTTTTCCTTATTGTAGATGTGTCAACAAAAATGTTAGCATGTGCCAGAGATTTCTGTAGGTCTTTAGCTGACACTCTGGGATTCTTCTTTACCTCATGCAGCATTCTGCGCTGTGCTCTTGCAGTAATTTTTACAGGACGACCACGCCTAGGGAGAGTAGCAACAGTGCTAAACTTTCTCCATTTGTAGACAGTCTGTCTTACCGTGGACACATGAACATCAAGGCTTTTGAAGATACTTTTGTAACCCTTTCCAGCTTCATGCGAGTCAACAATTCTTGATCGTAGGTCTTGTGAGAGCTCTTTTCTGCGAGGCATGGTTCACATCAGACAGTGCTTCTTGAAACCAGTAAACCCAAAACATGTGTGTGTTTTTTAAGGGCAGGACAGCTGTCAGCAACACATCCAATATCATCACACTGATTGGAGTCAAGGTTGGCTCACTCCTGGCTCCAATTAGCTCTGGGAGAAGTCATTAAGCTAGGGCCTCACATACTTTTTCCTCCCTGCACTGTGAATGTTTACATGTTATGTGCAATTAAACCATGGCAACATCTAATGTTTGTGTAGTATTATGTTCAGCAGACTGTGTTCTTCTATTGTTGTGACTTAGATGACGTTCAGAGCACATTTTATGCCCAATTCATGCAAAACTCCACGTAATCCCAAGGGGTTCACATACTTTTTCTTGCAACTGTACGTAAGTGGTGAACATGATTATTGAATGGGCTTTATTAGATACAAAATAGCTGTAATAGAAAAACAAATGTTTTAAAAGGTGCTATGCGCAGCTATCTAATGTCTACTGTCGCCAGGGTACATTTATAAATGTTTCCCATTTCAAAGCCTGCAGCTGACCCTGTGCTCAGCTAGGAGCTCTCAATCTTGGCTGTCACTGACAACTCAGGTCCCCTCTGATGATCAGGAACCAATCAGTGTGTTTCCTACATTTCCTAATCATGTGATCATTATGTTAGCTATGTCACATGCAGGCTGGAGGCTTTTGTTTCAATATGTTTAATACATTTTTTCAAAGGAGTATACAAATCATAAACAAACTGCAATATCAAAAGGTAAATAATAAAGTCCCACAGTGCAGATGGAATACAGCAAAATACTAATGATGAAGATAAAGTTATTAAAATGTTATGCCAAGACATCTTCAACAGGGGCAACGGACAGGGTGGAAGAGTATGATCTTAACGTAGCTACAACTGACCCTACCAAGGCATACAACAATCCCACGTAGGGGACTCAAAAGGAGATAGCATCTCAACATTCCCACAACCCACTGGCCAGTCGCCGCAGGTCAAGGATACAGAAAATGCTCCATAGGAAAGTGTTAACATAGTGGCTAAATAGAATTAAGAAAGAAAAAGAAAGGAAAAAACAGGAAAACAAAATAAAGGGGAAGAAGAAAAAAACAAAGTCCATCCAAAAGCCCACTTCTTCATTAAGGATACCTCAGTGAACCAGAGGTTTGAGGTATTTAAACCAGGGATCCCAAACGCAATCAAACCTAGAAGATCTATCTTTCAATATGCTGACCAGCTTTTCATTAAGCTTGATTCAGTTTGCACTCCATAACAGCTAGATCTGCTATTGGTTTCTTTCAAGTGGTCACTATAGCGAATTTTGCCGCAAGAAACAAAATAAATGCGGGTCTGAGTGTGTTTGGGAATGTGTGAAACCAGCTCAATAAGGAGAACCACTTCAAGGTTTTTCACTATATTCACCATAGTCACAGTGTAAATCAGAGTTTGAACGCTCACCTCAAACCAATGAACCTTAGCACAGGCCCACAAGGTATGGAACATCATAACGGGCTGACTGCACCCCCTAAAGCACAAAGGGAAAGTCCCCTGGTACATTTTAGAGAGGTGGTCCAGTAACAGGTACCACCTGGGAAGTAACTTGTATACCACCTTTACCAAAGCAGTATTCGTAATACTTGTATATGTCTGAGGTGACCAAGACCTCCAATTAGATAGGTCAAGTTCCTCCCCCAAGTCCCATTCCAGGCTAACATGCAGGGCAATTTTCTAGTCAGGTAAACAAACAATTTATGTGAGATATCACTGATCACCCCCACCCCGGGCCTCTAGAGGCTGCATTAAAAAATAAACTCAACCAAAAAAAGATTTTGTTTTTTGTGTGTTTGTCAGCCTAAAAAAAGGTGTACCACATAAGATACACAAGTCCTTTTAAAAATATAAGTTATTTTAGTATGCATCCAAGTATTAATGGCCTCTGATCATGAACAGTCTAATATAACAGAGTATTTTACTAACTTTAGAATCTACAGACTGGCATTGCCTCATCATACCGAGTCCATTATCTGCAAAACACACAGAGATGTTTCCTAATTAATGATTCCCCATTTTTTTCCCATCACCTGAATATTTGGTTGCTTGCAGTGCTTGCACCCCCCCCCCCCACCTTCATAAATAAAAAAAAACAAGGGTTTATTAGGTGACACAAAATATGCTATACAAAATCTTCAATAAACTGTTCTTTGCTGCAATAAATTGTTAATGTACTGGATGAAACACATTGTGATTAAACCATTACTTAGTATTT